CCCGGCGTGTCCGAGAGGCCTGCGGTGGTCTGGGAGCGCGGTGAGAGCCCGGCGTCAGCCTGCCGCGTGGTCCGCCGTGGCGAGAAAACCCTGTCCTCTGGCAGTGCCTGCGGAGCACCCCTGGGGCTGGGTGAGCGCTGCGGAAGTAAGTGAACGTGCTCGTTATTCTGAGGGACAAAGCAGATTCTCCCATGAAACAAACACCACGCTGGCAGGGTATCACCACCACCTGAGTTATCTTCGTATTTTAGTGTAGCGTTGGGATTTTAACCGAGTTGCAGAGCAGCCGCCCTGGTCGTGGCCCGGAGCTGAGGGCCCTGTGCAGGCGGCAGTTACCCCCGTCCATGCCGGCAGCGTCCCCTCCGTCCCTCCTCAAGAAACTCGTTGAGCTCCCTCTGAAGTCACCATGCGTCAGCCACCTCTCCTGGCACCGGCGTGATAAATGACACTGGAAAAGTGGGTGACTGCGTTTAGCACCAAAGCAGCGTGAGGATATTGCAAAGGAGATGAATGCTTACAACCACGTTCTGCTGTCCTGACCTCATTTTGTTTGGTACACACCAATGTGTGCATCTCCCCAACCTCCCCAAAAAACCCAACCAGAAGTAAGGGCAGTGCAATAGGATTTAAGTTTCTGAAAGCTGGGCTTTTCTTGATGCTTAGTCCCTTTGTATCGAAGCAGAATCCAGATCACTGTCACTCTGCAGGGAGTACGGTGCTGAGACCTTGTGTGTACCCACTTTGCCAGACAACAAAACTTGCAGTGTTCTTCCAAAGGTGTTGCAGGAGAAGGTCTCCAGTTTCTCTTTTACACCTCGAGGGAACGCTTTTGGGTATTGCCGTGTGTTTGTGTTCATTTTTGGATATGTTCACATGAACCGTTTAAAGTCCTACTGAAGAATTTCCTGGGCTGCTTGAATATGCCAAACCGGAACTTTAAAAACAGCTCGTTCTTTCACTGTGGGATTTTTTCTACACACTTTTGTGCCAGTATATTTAGTATATATATATTCATTTATTTATCCAAATGAAAACTGTCTTTTTATTAAAACAATCACAAATATTTCCTTCATATTTTCAAGGGTTGAAGCCAGAAGTAAATTTATTGAAGAAGTTGAGTTTAATTTGGGGGAGGTATTTTTTGATGTGTAGCTATTAAACTGAGGATAATTGCACTTTTTTTTTTTTTTAATTCACAAGCAGAAGACTCGTAAAAATTTATAGTTACTTGAAAATTGTCCTATAGGGTAACACTGTGAATAGCTTTAGGGTAAATGAGAATTTCTAAGCCTTATTGTTTGGAAGTGCCTGTTTAAAAGAAAGGAGACTATCAAATAGGCTTATTCTATTAGAAAAATAATCAATTAGAAAATACATGTGAATTTAATCTTATTTGTCAATTGCCAGTGAGCACTTGTGAGAACTTCTATATTATTGCAAAGTGGTGCAGTTTATGTTCTTCTGTTCAAGAGGAACAGAAGGATAGATAGGAGAATCAAAATTTCATCCTGATCCTGTTTCATAAAGGGCTTACTGTAACTTAAGTAAAAGCTATTGGCTTGTGTGAATTCTGAAGCAGTTTCCATCCATTTAGTTCCGTCTTCTGCATCACACTAAAAACATGCGATTTGACAAGGATTCATCAGTAAGCAATACTGACAAGGGTTCTTAATGGGTGCTTATAGTACTTAGGCAATTTAAAGCACTGTCTGAAATTGTTTCATTTTATGTTAAAATGCTTTTGAACAAAACCATACCAGACAGTTCATAGCTACAAAATGTTTAAAAAGTGTCAGCCACTCCTATGTACTGAAAATGAGGATCGGAAAATAGGCTTCCCCGGCCTTCTGCAACAGTGTTTTTGGAGCAAGATTTGCTTCTAAAAATCTATCCAAGGACGATATTTATAATCTCCTGTTTCTATAGAAATGAGGAACGTAACTAAGTAACTGTTTTTCTTTTGTGTATTTTCAAGGCTGGTATAAGATGGGGGAAAACCTTGCCTGGATTCTAGTGATCTCTGAGCCATGCTCTTTATGGGCCAATGTTCAGTAGTAGTTACCAACAAATAGCTTTTTTTGATGTAGAAACTCTTGGGCGGAGTTAAGAAAACACAACGGTCAAGAGGTCTGTAGCTGTCAATGAATATACATAAAAACCGCAACCAAACAAAAAATCCATGAGGCAGAACACTGTTTTAGTCCGGCATGAGGCAGGGCTATGCCTAAGTTCAGGAAAACTAGATATGCAGGAACAGCTCAGCATCAAATATGTCGTGTTAGCCTAGATGTGTTTGAGACATGATTTATTGCTCTACTGTAATGGCACTTCTGCTACTACTTGAAATTGTAAGCGGAGGGCTCTTCCAGTGATGGTCCTGTAAAGGCTATACTTAGCAGAAATGCCATTAAGACATGCACTTCGCAAAGGCGAGTTTCTCACCGTTCATCCTTCTACTCAAGGGTTGTGTGGCCAAGCTGTAGAAAGAAGACAGTGTGTGACACGAGGAACATGATTGTAAAGAAAACCTATTAGGGGTCACTTTTTATCCTGAACCAATATTGACACAAAGCTTTCTAAGGATTCCAAGATACCTTGTGAACCGACAGGTCTTGTCTTTCATAAGGAATTGGGGAAATTGTTGGTCTGATGTTTGTGTAGCTCTTGTGCTGATGACTTTGCATCTTCATAGCTTTCTGAAGCCTTTACCTGTTGGCTGATTTTTGCCCAGCTTAATCTCTGCTGCCATCGTGTGCTGTGGGATTTCCTAATTGTATTCTGATATTTATGAAACTAACCTATATTAGAACTGTAAAATATTTTTTATGTAAATGTATGGATTTATAGACTAGCCGATAGTGAGGTGAGATGCAAGCATTTTGTAATAACTTACCGCTGATGACTTACCTGAATTAAGAACCTCATCTTTGGCAAGAAGTATGGTCTTCCACTGATCTGTACAGATACTGTCCACAAACCACGCAGTTTATTCTCCCTATGTACTGTTTCATCTGTAGAATATTTATTGATGTGCGACTTTAAAATACCTCTAAACCAGAAATGTACAGTTTTAATGTATGATTTTATGACTTTTAATCCCACTGTCTGAATCTCCCATTGGAGAACCCATTCTTACTGGTAATCTTATATTTGCATTTCGAGTTTGAAAGTCGCAAGGAACTTCAGCTTGCCACTAGTTTAGTGTTATATATTTCCTCTTTCTGTCTAGTTGTTTGTAATTTCGAGTGAAATTTCCCATGTTCTGTGGGGAAGAAACTGTAGCGTTCGATTTCTGAGATATACTGAGAAGCAAAATAATTAACAGGAAAAATTGAACAGTAAATTATAACTGGAAGAGAGTATGTCCTACAATTAATTCAGCCAATAGAGTGTACTAGAACACTCAGTTTATATCAGTTACGTATTGTCAAAGACCATGAAGTATTCTTAACAGTACTATTTGATGTTCAGATTTCAGACAATTGGCCTGGATACAGTCTGGATTTGTTCACTTATCCTCAGCACTACTACGGAGATCTGGAATATGTGCTCATACCTCACGGCATTATTGTTGACAGGTACGTGTAGTTTGAATGTTACTAAATAAATTCTTTGGTCAGTAGTATTATTCTTTTTTATAAAACCTGTCATCCACAGACAGTGTGTATGTAACATTTGTCCTGAAATATTGTATTAGCAATTTATAAATTACTTTTATTTATTTAATTTGGAAAGTAAAAAAATGCTTGAAGGTTAGAAAATGCTAGACTTGTAGTTGCCTTTGCAGCTCCTCGTCTTAATTTCTTTCACCGAATTTCTGATTTGGCCACTGAATGAGACAGGGGTCCCACAAAAAGGAGGGTGTGATCGTCTAGTGAAATTGGCATTGGAATGTAAATTACAAGAGAGCTGAACTGAAGGTGAAAGGGCAAGTACAAAGCCTTGTATAGTTATACTTGAATGTCCCACTTGCACTCTAACCATCCCGTGTTTGTAATAAAAGAAAGGAGAATAAAATACAGTCAGTTATGTACACTTTGCCAACTCCCTAGTACAAATCATTAATACCGATTAACCTAATGATTCCCGACTGCATCATTAACTTCTGCCATTTAGCACAAGTGAAAATCATGTGGACTCTTTGGGTCCACATGCTAGGTTTGGAGGGTGGCAGTGGGAGAGGTTGATCAGCCCTCATTCCTTACCTCGTGGTAGTTCCCGTGTGCTCTCAGTGTAGCCATTTGATGGTGCTTTGGTATTTGTGGTAGCCCAGCTCAGTGTTCATGCTCAGTTTCTATTTTGACATGCTGTTAAAAATCTTATGAAAAAGTTACAAAAAGGCAATGGTAATTTTCAACAGTGTATTTACTGGGAACATCTGAATGGAATTTCATGGGACATTTTCAGCCTGCATTCTACCTACCACATTTAAACAGCTGGTTGCAAATACTGAAATTGTTGGAACTCCTTGAAAGGAGATTGTAAACAGCTATCATAAGGAAGAATAATGACTCCTGTATTTGCTTTTAAACACAAACTTTCTTTCATTGCTTTTTCAGTTACCATTGTGTTGAATGTGTCATCTCTTTTGGTTAGGGTCAACTGACTTTTAATTTCTCTTCTGTAAATAAATACATTAAAATGTCAGTTCTCATAGAATTCAATAGAATTTTATTTGAAGTAAGCATTGAACTCCAGTGTTGTTTTTATACTTCAGCAGAATGAAGTCCACTGTTTTTTCCTACTATAGCAGAAAAGACTGATTCTATTCTAATGGAAAAGGACACAGAACTTAAAATATGGTAATCATGCAAAATTTTCATGTAGGAAGAAGCATCAGCACTTGAAAAAAATCTCTTGTCAGTTGGTAGCAATTATACATAGGTTAAAAACCTGGTATGTTTTTATTTAGAAATTGAAATTAGTATATTTTTGTCTATGCTGGAGTTCATACTCTTAAAATACAAAAAGGTCTTTGAAATGTTTTGAAATTTCAGCTCCTCAAACAAGCTGAGAAAGAACATAAAAAGATGAAAATCACCAGAGAAATGTTTCTTCTTAATGAGAGGTTTTCCCCATTATTCCCAGACTTGATAAAATATGATAAAAGACTTTTACTAATCTTCAGTAAAGTAAAAATGTTTTACTAATCTGGCAAATTCCCATATTACAGTGGGTAGAGGGAAAAAAAAAGACGAAAAATATAATCATGAAAGATGGGGTAAATTATAGGATTGTTTAATAAATTGCATCCTGTCAAGAAGTCCACTCTCATCGAAACTACTAATCTAATTCAGAGAGCTATCAAAGAACTTTCCAGTGAAAGTGTTTACAGGAAGTAATGCACTGAGCTGATTTTCCTCAAAACATTAAATGACATTGTTCAGTTTTCTGTCAATACCTGCTTTACATCTAGAAATGACCTGGTGCTCTGTTTTAGGTCTAGAAATGCCATCTACCTTGTTCTTTAGAAATCAAAGCTACTTAATATAAGCATTGATGTTTATTATTTTTATCTTGAAAATTTCTATACTGTTGTATGGCAGAAATGTGTATCTTTTGGTTTCAATCATCTGCCACATTGTGTTTGCAATGCAGAAGCGTCAAAGAGAAGACAGATACAGGAACCCTGCAATTCTGGGTTAACTGGAGCATAACTTTGATTCTTCTCATGCGTGCGACCTTGAACAAGTCACTTCAGCTCTTTGCACTCTTCTTTTTTTTCTGTGTGAAATAGTGATAATGTACACCCTTTATAAAATTTGTATTGGTGCTATATTTCTTTACAGTATTTGAGTATACTTTTATTGAAATTGTAGGGCTAGCATCTTCCAAAGCCTATCAGTGTGAAATATTTCTGGTAGTTCTCTTCCCTATCTTTCATTTAATTTATTGTTCTTGGGAAGTCACTAACAGAACAAGTTGGGGGATTTTACAAGAATAGTTTATACTGGTGTTTCCTGTGAAGTAAAACTGAAGGCTGAGTTGCATTCTTTACTCCAAAGTCTCTGAAATGCTTATGAATTCTACATATGCTGAGATGTGTTACTCTCTATAACTGGGGAATTTATGCATTTAAGCTTAACCAGTTTGATCTGCATGCTTTGCATCTTGCATCCATCACTCTGTATCCACCCACTGTGAACTTGATCCAAACTCAGTGAAGTCAAGTCAAGACACTTAAACAGACTGTCAGTCTAGCTATATACTCACCATAGTGTTTCTTTGTAACTGCATGGAAAGCATACCATGAACTTAGAGAATATGCATCTAATGTTATTTTATCCTTGATTTTTTTGCCCCAGGACGGAACGATTGGCCAAAGATATTATGCAAGACATTGGAGACAATGATATTGTGGTTCTGTGTGTCCTCAAAGGTGGCTACAAGTTCTGTGCTGACCTTGTGGAGCATATTAAAAATCTCAGCAGAAATTCGGAAAGGTTCATCTCCATGAAAGTTGATTTTGTTAGGCTGAAAAGTTACCACGTAAGTCATCAACAACTTACTTATGTAGTTTCTGGTTGTATATGCATAATAAATAGTAGACTTTTAAAGTGGGGAATTTAATTTTTTTTCGCCCAAATTATAAGAAAAACAGTGTAAAAAATATTCTTGTTTGAAAAACGTGTGAGGTTTTCTTTCAAAATACTTGTTCATGTCCCTTTATACTTTATTGATAGTATGAATGAGGATACGAAGGGTCCTCAAGCTGTATTTTTTTTTATTTAATCTGTCTTCACTTTTGGACAGCAAATTATTCCAGTTTCCATCATGTAAAATGTCAGCATGTTTTTTGTTCCCCAAATCCTCAACAGTTCTGTCAAGTTTATTTCATGTTACTTCATTTTCCACCCCCACCCCCACATAGTTTGGCACAACTGCAAGATGATGAATCTCTTATTCTAAACGTTTAATGTTAAGTAAATTAAATGCTTTCATCTTCATAACAGAAAGTTTACATAGTAGCAAAATATACCACTAGATGATGATAGTGTTTTATAAGAAAATGAAATAAGCCATTGAACCAAATCCAGTGTTATAGGATCAAGACTTCCTGTTACCTTCAGAGGAAATTATGCAATAATAATTAATTTGTTTCAGTGAGGCAATGATAGTGAGATGACTGGCCTTTTTTTAGAATGCATGATTACAGTTTCTGTTAGTGTAAGCTGTACATTTATATTCCATCTCGTATGGAGTTCACACTCCATAGAGAGGGAGCATTTCTAGAAGTAAGTTGTCCTAGAAATGTCTGAGGAGGTACAGTAAATAAGTGAAGTGATAATACAGTTTCTCTCTGAGCACAAATGCAACTTGCTGAGTCCAGTAGTTCCCACAGTAACTCTACATCCTTTCCACAGACAGAGGCTGCTTGGTTGGCATTTTGCTCTGCCCCCAGTGACCGTAAGCTTTTCCTAACTTTCACAAATCCAGTCCGTTTTTTTTCCATTGTGGAAGAGAAGTGGATGAGAGCCTTTTGTAGCCATTTGGTTAGGATTTGGTCCTTGGACTTCCCTTTCAAGAATTAGTCAGGTCTATGAAGGACATGTGCAATACTAATATACAATTTCTTGCTATTTAGCAGTATTACGGAACTAATTAATAAAGTAAAATATAATGTTTGTCTCACATAAAGGTACATGGAAATCATACTCAAACTTTTTTGGTGTAGTAATGATAGCAATTCAATAATACTGCTTGGCGAATAGTGGAATTACTTAAATTGGATTTTATTTTGCACCTGGCATATAGGTAATACACATGCTTTTCCTATTGGGTTATCTCTTATCCAGTATGAAGATACCCTGGTTCTAAAATTTCTTTCCTTGGTGACAAGTCAACTCTTTTTAGCCATACTAACCCATAATCAATGAGTGACAGGAGATGTATCCCACAGAAGTGTGGAAATCTTCACATGATGGCTTAGGAAATAAAATAAAAGCACGTTATATCAGGGTGAAGCTGTAATACAAATTTTGTTATGCACAGATGCAGTTATCAAGACTAAGCCCTAGATGATCCTAGCATTTAGTGGCTGTGCATATTATGGATCTTAGCCTCATGCTTTAGCAGGAAGGTAGTGCCTTGCCTAGGACTAGTGCTTGCATTTAGTTTTTAGAAAATAAATCCTTTTTTTCTTATAAGTTCTTCCAAACAGGTGTCAGCTATTTATAGCCTGAAGCTGTGCTTGATTTAGTGCTTGGAACAGTGCTTGATATCTGCCTGGTCTTGAGAAGCTGAATGACACTACTGTATAAATTTGAAGTGACATTAATATTGCTAGATTCATTCCATGAGATATGTATAAATATGATGCTGACTGAAGCAGAAGTGCCACTACCTGCCATCCTTTGCGTTCTGAGTTATCGGTGTGTCCTGCCCAATTGCAAGTTTTACAGAATGTACCCTTGTCAACACAGCAATGGTCAGAATACCTGAGCTGTTACCAGTTTGAGTGACTCTTTATCCCAGCCTTATATGAGACTCCCAAATCCCCCATGTTAGTTTATTCTGTGATAACATACCTCTCACAATGCTTTACACTTTAATCAGAGGCAAATAATTACAGTTTTAGAGGGAAGACTCTACATGAAGTCTTGGAGCATCACCGGTTCCACTCCTTTGCTTCCCTTCGCCTTTTCTGTTCCACTTTCTATTAAGACTTATTGCTGCTCTCAACCCATTTTTCTCTCTTTTTATCCCTTTTTCATTTTATAGACTCTTCTCACATTATTTATACTGCTTCCTTTTACTAACTGTTTTCTGTTTCTCTCCTAAAGGGAGTCCTGCTGCTCTCAATTCAGATATGTCTCCCTTCCCCCCTCCAGCTGTTTAAATCCAACAACTAATTTCATCTCAAACTCGTGGGATTTCTGAATTGTCTCATTCCAACTTCAGTACTGGAAGGTTAGTGGATTTTTAGAGGTTGTAATTTAAAGTGAGATTTTTTGGTTTAATCATGTAGTAAAAGTGGGCTGCAACTGTGACCCAGCGTCAGATCTTGGCATCAGTGGAAGTACACCTTAACTGCAGAGTATCAGAGGAAAATGTTGTACTTTGATGTCTGACATGCTGACATGATTGCTTTTCAAATAAAAGGAGATTGCAAACATGACCAGCTTTACATACCTTTTTGTTTTTCAAACCTGTCATCATATTCCATAATTTAGACACTTAATTAGTATGTTAAGATCTGCTTTCATATTAAGTAGCTTGAAGTTGAGCGTCTAAATTCATTTTTAGACTTCTTCATACACATTAATTGATATTAAAAAAAGCATAGTACATTTAGATTCTCTGGATATTAATGAGATGAGTGGCTCCTTGTACTTCCATAATCAAGATGGTTTTATCTGGTTTGTGAAGTATTGACATATGTGCCTAAGCATGGACATTTTTATGAGAAACTTTCCTGTGTTTTACAAGTGGTGTCTTGTTTCATTATCTCAAATTGGAATGTCAGATTACAGAATTTAGTATATACACAGGTAATGTGGGAAAATACCGTTTTATTATTATTTGTAGAGGAAGCAAAGTGGAATCCAACTTAGGAAACCGTAGTCTAAAACTAATGTCATTATACTGTTTATATTCTACAGACATCGGTATTAGTTCTTTGTCTTTTAACAGAATTTCTGCAACTGAAACTGGAGGTGCAGCCTTGTCTGAAAGCATATTTTTACTTCCTCTAGAAATTGCATTATGATTTTCCATTTCTTGAGGGTTTTTTTTTCACTAGAATGCTGAAATGATACAGTAGAGAAAGTTAAGGAGTTTACACATGTAGACAGAAACTTACAGGCTCAGGTGTAGATCAATAAAGAAAAAATTAGGTGTGCTTAACTGCAAACAAAGTTTATGTCTGTAGATTGAGAAATATATGGTATACAAAGAAACACTTGATAGCGTTGCTATAACTCAGAGTTTTAAGGCTTCTGAATCAGTAAGAATGATATTAAAAATAATTATGAATTGGAAAAGAATCATGACTTGGAGATACGTGGATAGTTTTCCTCCATAGAAATATGATTTTTGGAGAATGCCATTTCTTGTAGACTTACAGGTGATACGATACACTAGTTCTCATTTTAACTTTGTGTATTTAAATGAGCTGAAAATAAGGAGATTGTTTAAGTGGGGATTTGATTAGAGGCTGTATGGTTACTTCACAAGCTTCTAGCAGAGTGAGCAAATTAAAAGAAAGCACCAAAGTAAGAGTTAGAAAATATGATTTCATAAATAAACAGATAGGGCAGTAGCATGTAGACTTAAAGGTGAGAGTCAGGAAAAAGTTGGAAAGGAAAATAAAATCCAGTGATGGAAATTTGAATGGGAAGCAGCAGTTTTCAGAGGCAAAAAGGAAAAAGCATAGACTTATGTGAATGATCTCAAGAATAGTGCATCAGTAAGTATAGTGGGTAGACAAGGAAGTACTGGAATAGTCTTCACATGAAATATGATGCAGGTATGGAAAGCTGCATGCCAAGTTTTAGGGGAAAACAATGTATTCTGGAAACACTGATGCAAGAACAGATAGAACTTGGCAACTTCTTAGACATTGAGTTCTAAGACATTGGATTTTAATGTACAGAAGTTAGGAACAGTGGAATTGACTGCAAAGACTTTTGAGTTTAAAAGTGAACAAATAAGTTTAATATATTCAATTTTCACCGTACGGAATTTTTTCCTGAGTGATCACTCCTCCACGGGGAATCAGAGCTCTGAAGTTGAAAAGAGGTGAGATTTTCAAATTGATGGAAGATTTCAAAATTATTTTCAGAAACAGGATAGGTTGAAGTCAAGGAAGAAAAGTAACAGAGGAAGAAGCTGGGCTTGGGAATGTCATCCAAGGAGAATATGACACCAGCAGGTGAGGTGACATGGATCCAGAAATTCTTTAATAAGATTGTGATACTGATAACTTTAGCAGATTAAAGAACTAAGTAGGAAGAATCCAGAGGGAAGTACAACAGAGGAAGCAGGAAGGTGTTTTACTAGGGTGTTTACAAATTAATGGATAGGACTAGACAAGAAAGAATGTTTAAGGATGAATGAGAAGAGAGAGCAAACACAGGAATAGAAGGACGTGGATGTCACAAAGAGAAGGGCCGAATGCGGTATGTTTTAGCAAAAAAACATAGCATGAGAACCATATCAGAAGAGTAGAGTGTTTGTGAACAATAATTAGAGCTTCTCTTGTTCAGTGTGGAAGAGACAATTTAGGACAGGCTGCTAAAGGTAAAGGTTGAACCAAAGCTCAATTTTGAAATGGAACCGGAAAAAATGAAATGGAGAAGTAGAGGAAGTATGCAGAATCTGTAGACTTTCTTGAGACGTTCTCAGCAATCTGTCAGCAGGAGAAAAAGTAAATGCTTGTGAATTAGGACTTCTTTGGTGGACAGATGATGGAAGCTAAAAATTGAAAGGATCATGCGAAGAGTCATTGAAACTAGTGATGGTGGCTGGTGGAAGAGAGGAAAAACGCC